GAGTAGTTTAAAAATTTAATCAGAACAGTATTAGAAACTGGTTACATACATAGCTACCCACACAGTTGATTTCTTGAACTAACCTCAGAGTCTATAGTGGGTTAAAAGCATTGCTGTATTTTTCCTTTGTTTTGTTAAGTTTGGTAGAATATTGATAAAGCAGGGAATATTTTCAGCCGTTTACTTGTGAATACAGAAGGTAACTCGACTGAAGGTGAGGCTGTGTGCAAGACCCTGCGGTCAGGTTCCCAGGCTGCAGCCAGCACAGCTCCTCAGAGGCCGCCTGTGTGGGAGGCCAGCTTCCTTCCTTCCACACCATAATGTGTGCTCACTGACAGACGCAGGGGATCTCATGCCCAGAGCTGGGTACTGTGTGCCACACACATTTGGTTCTGCTCAGGGACAGAACCTTCTGGGGCTTCTGTGACGCATGGTCTCGACGAGTTGTCGCTCTGTGGCCAGTAAATGCAGGAGCTGTGCGGTGCGCGCTGGGCCTCGCTGCAGCTCCCCTCCCACCTAGAGGCTCTGGGTCCTGCTGACCCACGTGAGGCTGAGCATGGGCCAGCGTGAGCACGTGTCTTGTTCTGCAGGAGGCCCTCAGGTAAGTGTGTGGAACCCCCACCCCCTGAGCGGCTGCCTGCTGTGGTTTTACGGGGCTGGCTGGAAGGAAGGGAAGTAGCTCACATACACGGCAAAACTAGAAGCCACCTCCCAAAGTCACCTGTTAATACGAGCCTGAAGGCCTGGAGCCAAGCTGTCTTCATGGGGCCCTTCCCCCCCCACCAGCTCCTTAGAGCAGGTTCACTCTCCCGTCGGGCTGGCCTTGTGAGGACACTCTGCGGGCCCGCACTGGGTGGGCACGAAGCGAAACCTGTGAGTTGTCTTAGGGGCCTTGGCTGCACCAACAAGAGCTTGGCTGGACATGGGCTCATCCTGCCCTGAGTGGGGATGGCGCGTCCACAGATGGGTGGGCAGGGCCCGGAATTGTTGAAATGGACCCATCATGTAGCAGTAACCTTAAAGGGGTTCTGGCTGGCTTCTAGGGTGGTTTCACATTTCTTCTCTACATTCGTTCCTTTCTCTCCTCAATAGTCAGTGTTCCATAATTTGAAAGTTATAATTTAGGACAAATAGATTGATAGGAAATTTTAAGAATTCAATAGAAAATATGAACTTTTGGTAGTATTGGCTGGGCCCAGAGTCAGTGAAGTTATAAGTCTGCATTTTTCTTGTGTCAGATGTTGAAGCAGAATTTCTTGGTGAATATCTTTTCCTAGAATACATATTCTTACGGATTATGATAAAGGAGCTCTTGTTAAACCTAACTATAGTGATGACATTTCCATTAATTCTGAGAATATATTTAGGATAACATACCACACATGTTTTCGTTAAGAACGGCAGTTATGTTTTAGTTGAGAGATCACATTAACATATCTCCATCACTTTATTGATTTTTACAATTTTATTAACAAAAGCCAGTATGATGTGGAAGTAGAAGGTGACTTTTCTTTACTTTTAAGTCCAGTATTATTTAAATCTCATTTCAGCTGTAGTTTGCGGTCAAGAGTTCAGGGGAGAAAGGGAATAAGCTGGTGAGAGAGTTTTGCTGAATTTATTTTCAGCTTCACCAGTGAAAGGACCCGAGACACTGAAATCTTCAGATGTTTAGTTGCTTTTCAGAATTTTAATTTTGAACCAACTTGAGACTTAAAAGAGAGTTCCGGAAGAGTAAGAAAGGCTCCTGTGGGCCCACCAGCTCCCCTCGTGTTATCACCAAACGCACCCACAGTGGAAATGCATGCCTGTAGTATCTCACCTGCAGCCAGTGTGGTGGTGGGCTGTTGGGGGCGTCATGGCCAGGGCCCACCCCAGACTCAGCGTGGGGGATGCTGCCCTTGGTCCTCTGGTTGAGGTGGGGCCTGTCAAGCTACTGGGATTGTCTTCACTGATGCGGGACGCATGTTCCCAGGACGCCTGGAGACCATGTGCTCCCTGCTCTGACCACCAGTGTCCACGCCTGTCTGTGGGTCTTGCCTGCGACAGGTGCATGACGGCCAGCAGCTGCTCTCTTGGCTGTTCTCTCATAAGGAAAAGGCATTCCCTCTCCCCTTTTCACCCACTGCATCGTCTGTTAATGTCTGTGGGCTCACGGAGGTCTCATTTACTCTTGGGATTTAACCCTTGGGCCTGTCGTCTAACACTTGCTGATTATGCTGTGCAGATGGCTCTACCTTTGGCCATTGGGAGTGGTTTCGGGCCTGTCGTCTAACACTTGCTATGCAGATGGCTCTACCTTTGGCCGTCGGGAGTGGTTTCATGTTGGCTGCTGTGTCCTTTCAACGGGACTCAGACTTTTATTTTTTTGAATACTTTCTCACTTTCTAGCATGACAGGATTCTCCAGGCTTATCTTTTGTTCTCTTGGCCCAGCCCTGACATCAGCTGCTGCCAGGGGTTTGTGTTGAGATCTGAGACCTGGACTCTGCTTACACTCTGATACACGAATGCCAACCAAGTGTGCCTCCAGCCCGAGTCCCTGCGTCGGTGTGGACCTTGCAATGCCAGCCCAGCTGTCCCAGCTCTCTCTTCTGCTCCCTCTCCCTCCTCCTGGCTCTCGTTCTCGGCTGTGTCTTTACTCGTCCACGTGCAGTGGTTCCAGAGCTGCTAGCCCACCCAGCCTGTGAGGAGCACATCTCCTCACCTGCCCTGTCGAGGGTTCCACAAGCTGGCCCCTGCTGTGGTGCTGCTCTGTGTAACAGGCGCCTTCCCTTGACTGTCGGTCCCCCCTTCCTGATGGGTCCTTGACATTTGCTGCAGTGAAGTTCCCTCCTTCTGTGCACCGTTCTGTGGGTTTTGGCAAATTCAGAGTTGGGTGCCACAGGTACGATCCCAAGCAGAAGTTCTGTCTTTCCTGCGTCCCCCACTCTGCCCTGGGTCGTTAGCCACCCTGCCCCCTGGCCACCACCACACTGGCTTTGCACCCTACAGTTTTGCCTTTCTAAATGTCTTCTGTATGGACACATAGAATATGCGGACTTCCCGTTTAGCAAAAGGCACGTAGCTTCACCTGGGTTTTCTCATGAGGTGATGCTTCATTCTTACTACACAGGAGGATTTCGCAGTGTGGGTGTGGAGGTCACTTATCTGACTCAGGTCTCAGTGGGCTAGAACCAAGGTATCGGCAGGACGGGTTCCCTCTGGAGGCTCTGGGGGAGAATCCGTTCCTCGTCCAGCTTCTAGAGGCTGCCATGTTCCTTGGTTTGTGGCCCTTCGTCCACCTTCACAGATGGCAGCTTCGGGGCAAGTCCTCAGGCTGTGTCTCTCGGGGCTCCTCTGCCTCCTGCTTCCAGTCCCAGGGCCTTTGTGACTGTGCGGGGTCTATCGGTGTAGCCTCCCTGACCAGCACCTGCAGCCTTAACTGCCCTCTGCCGGCTAATGCTGCATGTTGGCAGGTTCTGGGGTCAGCGCCTGGACATCTGGGCCAGGGGGCATTGATCCGCTTCCACTCGGTATTGAGAGACGTGGAGCAGCTGGAGGGATTGGTTGGATTTAGGAGGTCGTTGTTTAGGCTGGAAGAGCTGGGAAATGTGGATGTGCCGATGGGATGTCCCAGGGTTTTGGAGGGAGGAAGAGGATTGAGATGTAGAAATAGGAGTGGGTCGCATCAGGCCCTCAGCTATCGGGGCAGACGGGTGATGTCACTTTGAGGTGGCCTCTGTGTGTCTGAAATACCCCCCTGCCTTTTAAAAGATTTTATTTATTTATTTTTGCGAGAGAGAGAGAGAGAGAGGGAGCGTGCAAGTGAGCACGAGTGGGGGAGGGAGAGGCAGAGGGAGAAGCAGACTCTCCACTGAGCGAGGAGCCCACATGGGGCTCCATCCCGGGACCCTGGGATCATGACCTGAGCTGAAGGCAGATGCTTAACCGACTGAGCCACCCAAGTGGCCTGAAATACCCCCTTTTAAAAGCATTTTCTTTCTTTCTTTTTTTTTTTTTTTTTAAAGATTTTTATTTATTTATTTGACAGAGAGAGACACAGCGAGAGAGGGAACACAAGCAGGGGGAG